GATAAGAACCAAAACGGTCGTTTCACCAATAACTAAACAGGCTTGCAGCCACCTTATCATGGCTTCCAGCTCATTGTTCCATCTCAACATCTACCACGTCGGCAGAGCAAACCAATGCTCCGGTGACGGAGAAGATACCTTTTTTAATTTCCTTTATGTTATCTTTCTTTTAATTTAATAAATATTGGAAATTGGCCAGCTAATCATGCAGGATTGCTTAACTTTATGATTAAAAGATAAAACTATGAAGACCTCATTTTATTTTTAAAATTATGAACTCTTCTTTGGTCTGAGTGAAGTGAATGAAAGAGAAGATAACAATTCAATCAATTAAATTAATTTATTTGATTAATGACTTAATTTAATTGTTTAAATTTTTTTATTTTTTTCAAACTAAGTAAATTATTAAAGTGAGAAATAGTTTATTACAAATAATAATATTAGTTGAAGCTGCTACATTTATCAGAGTGACCTTGAATGAAATTGTCTAGTCCTTAAACCACTATGTTTTGGGTAGTATTATTGTTATAACTTTAATTATTATGTTTTAGATTGATCATTGTCACACTTTTAATTATTATTATTATTATTATATATTTTTATTTTAATTAAATATTATATTTTTTAATTTATTTAAAAAATAAAAATAAAATAAAATATTAAAAAAATATAATGCAAAAGTATAATATTCAATTAAATTCAAAAGCCGTGACCTCACCCATTGAAGAAATGATAATAAACCACCTGCGTATCTTTGTAAACGACATTAAACATTTATCGGGGAATATTGGTAGTGCTCTTTCCTCTTAAAAGAAATAGATTCTCTTAACTTTTCTTTTTTCTTTTTTTATCTCTGTTCCCACGTTTCTTTTTATTAAAAAAAATCAAAGTAGCCTCGAATGTGTAAAGGGGTCACCTTTCTTTGTGGAAACAGATGAAAATGCTATGAATCATGTGCAAGGGACACTATAGGGTGTGTGGTAAAGCATAGAAGATACTTGTATTTTATTAAAGTATTATTTTTTTTATAAATATAAAGTTAGTTAAAAAAACATTTAAAAATAATTTTATAAATAAATTTTAAATTCTAAAAAATTCTAAATTGAAATTTTTTTAAAAATTACTTAAAATTTATTTTAAAAAATAATTTTTAATTTTTTAATAAAATTTTAAACTTACAAAAAAATATTAATATTTTTAAAACAATAAGGTTTTGAAAGTTTTCCGACACAACCCAACCAGTACCAAAACACATGCCCATTTCCACATGCTGCATGCTGAAGTAAACGTCAACACTCTGCAAGGACTAATGATCCCTGAGACCGCAGTAGCCAAAGACTTAGAGAGTGGTGAAGTCGTTTGAAAAAAAAAAAAGAAATCAATCAGGCAAGACAAAACATGTTCGGCGGAGTTTATCGCGGAATTTATTAGCAAAATATTTTAAATTAAAAAAAAGAAGTTCAACTTAGATTTAAAAAAAAATAGAGTTTTAATTTTATATTAT